TTTTTTTTTTTTTAATTTCTTAAAAAATCAAACTTTTTGATCGAAAAAATAAAGATTTTTGAAAAAAAAAAATTTTTTTTCATTGAAAAAATGAATAAAAATCGAAAAATTGCTCATATTGGTGATTTTTGCGAAAACAAAGAATTTGAAGCTTCGGGGCACTATGAAAAAAAAATCGCAGCGCTTTGAATTTTTCAGGGATTTTAGGAGACACTTTGAGGTTGAAAAATTACTGACGATATCCTTCGTTCATCCATTTTATCCAAAGTTATACCAAGATATATCCAAATATCCTTAATTATATGCAAATTTTTTTTTTTTTTTTTTTTTTTTTTTTCAAAATTTTCAATTAAAATAAATTTTTTTCGTCAAAAGCCATTCTGGGTATCTTATAGAGAATACCGTGTAGTTTTCAAAACCCTCTTTCGATTTCCTATACGATCATTGTTCCCAGAGTTATTGATTATCAAAGTTAAAAAGAACTTTTTTGCTTTGATTGACTAATCACTCCGCGGTAAATCATCGTACAGGCTTTTTGATTACGTCAAATTAAAAGGCATTGAATTTTCTATAAGAGCTTATAAGTGAAACAATGGAAAAAAATTTTTTCAAGCCCGTAGACCTTTTTTTAGGCGAGAAAAAATTTGGAAAATTTTTTTTTGGTAGTTACCTTAAGATTCCTCCAGACTCTATTCCTACAGATCTATTACTTTTTTTTTGCTGTACGATCATTTTCCTCGGACTTACAGTTTGTTGAAAATCACCCAAAAATTTAGAATTTTTTTTTATATCCCTTAATTTTTGTGACTAGTTTATTTATAACTTTTTCGAAAATTTATAATAAAAAATATCGTTTGCTAAAAAGCATATGAAACATTGAAAAGGCACAAATTCAGATCATGACCTTTCAAATGATTTATTAAATTTAATTTAAAAAAATTTATTTACTGATTTGTATTTCTTTAAATTTACTCAATTAAATTGTATATAAATGTATCATAGTATTTATATGATTTTGAAATTATTATGTATTTTTGTTAAACAGGCGGATGTTGTAAACTGTCATCAACCATTTCCGGACAGAATTCCAAACAAAAATTTTAGTTTTTCTGATCATGAAGCTGTTGAAACAGAATTCAAATTTACAAGAGGTATTAAATTAAAACTACTAATTAATGAAGCTATACATATTGGATGTAATTATTTAATTTTATTTTTTTTTTTAAGGAGTATACGAAGTAAATAATATTGACATAAGATCCACATTGAAAGAAGCTTCCCATGTATGTAGTGAAGCATTACAAAATGTAAGAAAACAACGTTTTTGGTATTCAATGATGAGTATTGTGCTAGTAATACCCATTATCTATTCAATAAGTCTTGATATTACATTTCAATCAATCGGAGCCATCATCGGATTGAACATTGTACGTCTTTTTATTACTGCGCTTATTTGTTATTCATTATTTATGAGCTCTATTTGGAATAATGTTGAACAAAATGCTTTAAAAGCTGGCTGTTTGGAAATGGAGATTCACTTTAATTATATTAACAGTAAATATAGTTAAAAATAAGCAACGTTATAGAGAATATTATATTAGTTAATTTTTTTTATTTAATTTAATAGAAGGCAATGTAAACTTTCGAATGTGTTGAATGCCAATTTTTTTGTAAATATTTTCTTGAATTTTATTGTCTATTTTAAATTTGTAAAATTTTATTTAAAATATTCCACCGCTGAAAAAATTTTTTAATTAATTTTTAAAATAAAATATACATCTTTTCTCTTAGTTAAATAAATTTTAAAATTTTTCTATAAGGAAAGTAATTAAATGAAATTGATGGTAGATAAACAAAAATTTTATTTTTTATTTCATGAAATGGCAATAAAGTTTATGTACAATTTATTAATTTATTAAAAACTTTATTGATACAATTACTATAAATTAATGTTACAAAATTTAAAAACGAATGAGCTTTCTCCATTCAATTGGCTAATCTTTTAGGCCGAAAAAAATCTTGCCTGCTTATTAATTTTCTATATTTCTTAATTTAATTTATTCAGTTTATGGCTCTTTTTAATATTTATCAAAATGATTAGCAAATTATACTTATTTTATTAACTGAATTTAATTCAGTTAATTATTTATTTTTAATATTAAGTAGTTAATTTAAATTGTAAGCATTTATAATTACATTTTAAAAATCATGTCAATATTATATTACATTAATAATTATAATAAATAACAATTGATAACCATAAGAATCCCGTGTGTAAAATATTATTTAGACTATGCAACAATTATAAATAATAAATTTCATTATATAAATTCAACATAAAATGGCATCGATAATGAATTCATTAATTAATTACAATAATTGTCAAAATAAGATTTTTATATGATACATAAATTTAATATAAAAATATAATCAATGTCATTTGAATAAATGACATTGTTCGCAACATAAAATATACTAATAAAAATAAAATGTACATTTATTTATAACTTAAAATAATTATAATGAAACCATGAAAGACTAAATTTGAATGAATATTTTAAATAAATATTTACTAAGTAAATATATCTTTGGGTAAACTTTATCCCCCATAAATACTATACTTTCATACTTAACTATATTTTTTACCGAATATATACATTCGTCACTAATTACAAAAGTAGACAGAATATAGATTTAAAAATAATATTGTAAATGTATAAAAATATCAATACATTTATTATATTTGGTATATTTGCTCTCAGGGTAATTGTTCGACATAATTTTTTGGTACTAATCCAGTTTTTCCATTTAATGTCCCCTCTAGCCATCCGGGTTCGAGCGATGGTCTCACTATTCCAAAAATTTAATTTTCGATTATCATCAAATTAATTTGTGAATAATAAGATGAATAAAATCCAGTAATTACCATTTGTTATTATTTGATTAGGTTCAAATGAAAGCTCTCCATCGTTTTCAGCCATACAGGCGTATAATGTCCGAACTCTCCAAATTCCGGATGTTTGTCCTGGACTTGACCGTCCACTGGCAGGAGAAGTGTTGGAACTAAAATTTATTTAAAAATAAATTGATTTAATAAAAATTCTATTTTTTTTTAAGTCCAAAAAAAATTTTTAATTTGGAGAAAAATTTTTTTTTGCATTTCTGCACATTTTATGAAAAAATACGTAGGTTTTCAAAAATAAATTTCCGAAGTGGGTCCCGGGAGCCATAAGGGTGTATAAAAATTTTTTTTTTTTCGGAAATCAACGTATTTTTTCATAAAACGTGTAGAAATGCAAAAAAAAATTTTTCCCCAAATTAAAATCTTCTGAGAAAGATTTTTTTTTTTTTGTATTTCTCGAGTTTTCAGGTAAAAATACGTTGATCCCCGAAAAAAAATTTATTATACGCCCTTATTGCTTTTCACCGATACTTTTTGCCGGTATACGCCCTTATGGCATCTGAAACGCGATGTAATTTGATAAATATTTTCTTTTTCTATCAATACAAAACAACTTACAAAGATGTTGCAGAATTATTACGTTGCAAGTATTCAGATGGGTAATGCATTCCCATAATTGGCCCACGCTTATGTTTTAAAGGTAGACCTGTCATTAGAAGATGAGAATCTGAAGCAACTGATTCATTTGAACTGCTTGTGTTACCACTTCCAACTAGTAAAGAATTTTAATTGTTATTGCTTTATATAAATATAAAATATTTATCGTAATTGTAAACAATATCAAACCTTTGTCAGTTGAATAATACATAAAATTAGTGTTTACTAATTTCGGACGACTAATTCGAGGGTCAGAGTATGAAGGTAAGTGTTGTACTCCATATTTTATATCATCAAAGTCTTCATTATGATTGTCAGCAGGTAAGGATTTTGTTAAAATTGATAAAGGCTTTTCGTAAAATCCTTTATTGAGCTGCAAAAGAGTAAAACATTATCATTTTATACATATTAATTTTTAAAGGGGCTGAGGTTGCACGTAGCTGATTTAAAAAATTTTGATTTTTAAGATTTTTTAAGGCCGTTTAAATCCAAAAAGAAGGCCAAAAATTTTCAATCGCTCGCCATTTTTTTTCAAATCAAAATTTAAAAAATCGGTAAGGTGCAGCGATAACCAAATTCATATAGATTATAACTATGTTTACTAGATATATCATGGACTTTTTCCAGTTGACTACAACATAAATGGCCAGCTGCTACCTAAATCTATTGTCATTAAAGACCTAGGTGTGCTGGTTGATACTAAGTTAAGCTTCAATGAGCATATGGACAAAACAGTATCAAAGGCATATAAAACTCTAGGAAACATTATTAGATCAGGTAATGACTTCAAGAACAAAAGATAAACTGTGCAAACTTCTAGCAAATCGTACGTTTATGTCTACAGCTCAGGAAGCCTACAGTAACTTACAGATCAACAAACTTTCCCAGAGAAGACAAATATCAGACTTAATCTTTGCATTCAAAATCATTAATGGGCACATTGACTCCAATTGATTAATAGAGACAATTAAAACTACCAAAAGTTATATATATATATATTAACCCGAGAGATAGGATCGCTAATCTAATCAACGATAATTGCTCAAACCTCGAATTATTTGACACTTCGATCACATCGTTTGTATCATCGGTTAAACGGCTACTTCTAACCAATCACCACTATTCTGTTGAAAAGTGCAATTTCTTCTTTTTGTAATAATTACTCTCAGGAATATTTTTTATATACTGTTACTCAATTACAGTTATAAAGCAAATGAAATTAATTTAATTTTAATTAAATCCTAATAAAATGTTAATGTTTTTTTCCTTTTTTCGCCTAAAGCTAAAATTTACTTGTACGTAAACTTAATGTATAAAGCCAATAGGCGTTTGAATAAATAAATAACGTAACTAAAATTTTTTTCTCGGATGACCCTTTTTCGAAGGAACAATGCAACCGTGGAGGAAGAATTTTATTGGGGCTGGACAAGAATGTTAATAACTTTGTAACGATTTGATATTTCTTAATACAAATTTAGAATATTAATCTTCAATGAACATTTATAGACCAAAAAAAACCTGATCCCCAAATTTTTTTATTTTCCCGGTCAAAAAATTTCCAAAAATCACTTATTTTTTTGGCCGTCACAGTGACTATCCCCTTTTATATTTTAATGCATTCAAAATTTGCAAAAGGTAGATAAATAGATAAATCATTTATATATACCAAGGCCATTTGGTTAGATGGCAAGCAAAATATAAATATTTAACAATTTAAATATATGATAATTTTTACGTAGAGTAAATATAACATAAAATAGTTATAACTCATTCTAAGTATCTCATTAAACTTCACTTAGTCTTCACTAAAACAATATTAACAGGTGTTTGATGTACTTGACGTACTTGATTTACTAATAAAGAGTGTGAAAGGTTTTTAATTAAAGTAAAATATAACAATTTAGCTTAGAATAATTGTATATTAATTAAGTTTAAGATCTAAGTTGAGTAAATAGTCACAGATGTTGTTTTCTTAAATTTCGATACTGGATGCGTTCACTATATCAATTGGTGGTAATTCTTCCCAGAGTCGAATAGAATATAAAAAAAAATATGCTGGTAATCTTTCAGAGTGTCTAACATCAATGTCTTCAATGAACAATTCACGTAAGTAACAGGGTTTATCTAAGTATAGTAATTTATAAAAAATAGCAAGAAAGATAATAAATAAATACGACAGCTTTTAATAGACAACCAGGCTAGTTCACGTCAATAAGGGGTGATGTGCTCATCACGTTTTAATATATTAATGAAGCGAATGGCAGGATTAAAAGACCGTTGTAATTTTTGATCGTTTTCAAATGTTGAATTACGCTGAGAGACAAAATCACTTTTGAGAAAAAAGAGCACTCTTGTTTATTACCAAAATTTAAATTGTTAAAAATTTTCAACATTATTCTTTTTCAGCTGAAGAAATCACACTTTTCTCGTAGTTTTTTTTTTTATAAAATCACATTTTTAAATATACAATAGGGACCGAGCCTCTAGACTATCACGCCAACTGGTGATAGAAATTGTAAGCTAATGGGCAAAAATTTTAAACTCTTACATGTGATTTAATGTTAATTTATTTTTTATTTAAATAAATTAATAAATTGTTTGAAATTTTTTTAACTGTAGAGTTTTGACATATCACGACATACATAAATATATCAAGTCGGAACCGTCAAATTGACAAACTTGTGAAATTTTATTATTTTTCGCTCAGTACTAGTGGTATATCCCAGAGAAAAATGACAGGCATACGAAGTGTTTAGAGGCGGAATTGAACTTTGAAGGCTATGTTTACATGGCTATTTGACTTAATAATGTTGAATTTCTTTAAACACATTTAATATACATGGCCTAAAGTTTTTTTTTAACTTTCTCAATTATTTTTGCTTCCAATACGACCGATTAATACTGGTCAAAAAGCATATTTTATTATTTTTTTTATTATTTAGTAAAAAAAATACATAAGCTATTGTAATACTTTTTGCCCATTTAGTGCTTTTGTTAAACACTAGGGCGCGCCATTTCCGACTGATGTGCTGCCTCTACAGTTAGCGCTCGGTCCCTATAAAGAAGCAATTCTAGAGAAAGTCAACAAGTATTTTATTCAAGATTTAAAATTTTTAATGAGAAAAAATTGTTCTTATTTTAATTCTACACTGAAAAAAAATTAACTTGAATCAAGAGAAAAATTCTTGAACCAAAAAAATAATTTTGAAGAGTTTCATTGTCTTGAATCAAGACGAAAAATTCTTAAATTCTTGAATTAAGGTAGTACTACCGATTTTAGAATTGACGTTCAGAATTTAATGAAATTTGGCATATTAGTACTTTATAATATCATAATTAAGCAGTAAAATCTTTGGAAGTCTGGCAAGTCCTGAAAAAAAAATATTAATATTTACATATTTTTGCCTTTACCATTGATCCTTATGAAAAATTAAAAGCTTTATTTTATTTCACAAAACTGGACGTTCAGATTCTTATAAAAATTAAGACAACGAGAGAAAATAACATCTAGAACATATTTAATAACAATTAGTATGGTTTCCAAGTATATGAGAATATTTATTAATAAAAATTATTCAAAATTTATCTCTGTCTCTCTTTCTCCAACGTGATTTAGTATAGGGAAATCTACTACGTTAATCAAATAAGCTTAGGTTTTGGGATATGACTCTTGTGGTAACGCGCCCCAACAAACGGGATCGAATTGTAAGTCAATACGATTCTATTTGATTCAATCCGACTTTTGAAACCAGTATGTCGCATTGAAAAGTATTCAATCGAATAGAAAATTTTCGAGGTAGAGCTCAAATTACCGACCAAGCTAAAACCACTTACCATATGTAATTAAAGTTGAATGTAAGTGATAGAAAATAGGAAAAAAAATATAAAGTAAAAATTTATTTGTTTATAACAAATTGTTTATTACATAAACAATGAAAAATTAAATAAAACAAAAATTTTTTTTTGTTATATAAAATAAAAAATAAAGAATGATTTTAAAAAAAATCGTTCCTTCATATTAATTAGAAGTGGGAGAAAATAATTTTTAATTAATCAACAAATGCGTTTTTATGTAATAAAAAAATTTTTTTAAGAAACGGTTTTTTTTTTAAACCATAATTATCATCAAAGATTATGTTATCAAAAAAAAATTTTTAATTATCTCATAAACAACGCATTTGTTTATAACAATTATTTTAACCATAGGTGATAAAAATCATTTTTAAGTAGCTTCTGATCATAAGAAAACGAATCAATAATAATGTTATAAAAAAAAAATTTTTTTCAATATTTAATAAAGCTTTATAATTTTTCACCTTAGTAAATTGTTAATAACAAAACGAAAATTAACATTTTTTTAATTTTTTCTACGGGAATCTATTCTAAAACCTTTGAAAAATAGCTCCACGAAAAAAAAAATTCTTAGATTAATAGTTTAACAATTATCGCACTTGCAATGTTAATGCTCGTGCTACAAAAAATTGTTAATTAATTAATGGATAACTTATTGAAAAATCACGATAAAAATTTTTTGACCACGTATTATTGTTCATTGATCCATCCCGCAGGCGCCTGAATTTTTTCAATTTTTAATTTTCATATTTAATAAGTTTGATAAATTTATCATAATTTTCATACTTAATAAGTTTAATAAATTTATCTTTTAGACTAATGAAGTTACAGCTTTAATGATTCAGGACAATTTTATAGATTAAATATGTGCCTTTAGGGTCAACCGTTTTCTAGATTATTTTATGAACAAATGGTTATAAAAATTGAATTATAATAGATATCGATCATATGAAAAATTTATTATATGAATCAATAAATTGTCTAAAAGATCTTCCTGAATGTCCAAGACCGTATCATCAATAGTTTAGAAGTTACAACAATTTATAAGTTGATAAAATAGTTGACTGTTTCAACTTTGATGAGGTAAAGTATTTTAAAATTCAATAAAAGTAGAGAAAAATTTTTTTTACAAATCTGATGCACATGGCTGAATTTTTAATTTTTAAAAGTAACGGAAAAAAAATAAAATGAAAATGGAAATTTGTTCATAATAAATTGTTCATAAAATAAACAATAAAAATTAAAATGAAAACAAAATTTTTTTTCATAATTATATTGAGAATTGTAAATGACTTAAAAAACAAAAAACTATGTTTCTCATAACATTAACCGAATATTTCAATTTTTGATAACTTTGAAAAATCATTATAAGCAAATGAAAAAACTTTCTTAAACTTTTACAATGGAATCTTGTTCATTATTTATATAATAAGACCTCCTAAAAGGAAAAAAATTTATAGACTCACTTTTTAAACTTTTGTAATAGATTTTTTGAAAACTCAAGTCTACGAAAAATTAGTTAATTAACAATTAAATAACTTAAACAAAAATCAAGCCAAAAATTTTTTTTCTTACGGGACTATATTCCTTCAAGTGTCTAGTTGACACCATAATTTACTCAGATTTTTAAATTAATATTGAATGTTATAAAATCATTATTTTGTGTTGAATACTTTGCTTGGCGGTAATGCCTAGGCACCGAAACGGCCGCATGGAGCCCAACTTTCAACGTTAAATTAAAATCATAAATAATAGAGCTATTACTCCAGGAGTAAAGACTTATTTTAATAAAATTTTCTCCTCTTTTAGGATCTTTTTTCAAATTTCAGACATCTTGAATATTTTCGAAGATATAGCTACAAAACGAAGACACCCTTTTTTTCTCTTCGTTTTTTGTTTATAACAAATTAAATTTTTAACAGCGGATAAATTAAGAATACCTCTTTCTCAGAATTAAATTCTGAATCCAATGCACCAATCACCATATTTTTAAGAGCAGGCTAACGATTTTTCGCAGAACTCACTTCTTGACTATAGACTATGTCTACTGTCATAAAAAAATGTTTTTGTTGAAATTTGTCATCTCATTTAGGGTAAAAACCCAATCGATGCTTATGTACCAGTACATGATCACACCATGTATTTGTATATCTATATTTGTGAATACTGGTACATGATCATCTATTGGGGCTTATACCTTAATACTCAAATTGCACAAAAGATAAGATACAAGAAATTTAAGCCGAGATAGTTGCTTAACCTTGAGAGAATAAGAGTAAAGTACTACTCAAATGCTTCGCGTTGAGATGTGCAAAAGTAACATGGCCCCTAGAGTAACAGAAAAAAGAAAAGAAGAAACAGTTATTGTTATTAAAATTCATTTGATGGTTATTTAAATTTTGCGGAATAAAAAAGAGATTATGTCATCTCTACAGGTTAATAGATTATACATGATATCTTAGAAAAAGAAAATAAATTTTTATTTCATGTCCTTATGACATCCGACGTGGATCGCGAGAATTTTTCTTTTGAGGATTCAACGTATTTTCGCATGAAACATGCAGAAATAAAAAAAAAAAATTTCTCCCAATTAAAATATTTGTTGTAATGTACCAACTCTAGTCGAAAATCATGAAGTCCAGTTGATTCATGTTTATAATAAAATTAGCGTAAAGATGAATTGTGTGTATTATTATAAATTTGGGAAGCATCCTCTTTCTAATTATGCATGGTAAACCCACCATTAATAAATTTTAAGTCCTGTCATAAACGGTCAAATTTTTCCAAAATGAAGATTTTTTAATTTTAAAAAGTACTTATAGTCTAGTCAACATGTGCCTTTTTGGTCAGCTTTTTTCAGCAGTCTCCGAAAATTATGATTCAGGTATCATTCGATTCGGAATGGTATCTAGATTATTTTTGAAATAAATGAAGTTCCACTTGCAAAAATTACAAAAGTTATTAACAATTAACTTAAAAAAAGGGGGAGTTTTTTTTGCAAATATATTAAGAACTAATAAAGGTTTAAAAAATTTTAAAAAAGATTAAAAAAAGAAGAGGAAATTTCCTGAAAAGATGTTCCGACTCCCGAAACTGTAGGACCAATATTTATAATTTTCCCAGAGGGACGAAAACGGATGCTCTGGCTTGCGTAAGCCACACTTATTTGGACACTCATCAACAAAAATTATTTTAACATGTTGAATATAAAATTGAAGAAATAGAAAAATTCAGGGTCTTACTGGATAGACAAATGAACCATATTTCGCCTGAAAAAAATTTTGATTACAATTTTCAATTAGTTATGCAATAGTTAATTAATAATTTTTTTCTGCTTGAACATGAACATTGCAACTGTAATAATTGTTAAACTATAAATTTGAGATTTTTTTCCTCTCTTGAAACAATTCTTTGAAGGCTTAAAAAAAAATTCCCGTTGGAAAAATTGAAAAATTTTTATTTTTCAGTTTTTTATTAATAAATTTCGTTGTTCCGAAATTAAAAACTTTAATTAATCGTCGAAAAAAAATTTTTTTTTTTTAAATATTATTGATCCATTTTTATGTAGTCAAAAGCTGCATAGAAATAACTTTTTTTTAATTTTCATCTACTATTGTTTAAAAAATTATTATAAACAAATGCGTTGTTTATAGGATAATTGAAATTTTTTTTATGGAATTTTAATCTTTGAAACAAATAATGATTTTTAAAAGAAAAATTATTAACTAAAATAATTTTTTTATTGCTTAAAAACGCATTTGTTCATTACGTTCAACGCTTAAATTATTTTTATTTAAAATTATTATAAATGATAAAAATGAACAATTATAATTAAGTTTTTCTTGGTTTTTATTTTTTTTTCAATTTATATTTAAAATTTTTCAATCGCTTTAAAATATGAGATATTCAAATATTTTTAAAAATTTAGATCATTTATAATTTGAATTCTCGAGAAACACAGAAAAAAATAGAAGTTAGCAGTCGATATAGAAGAATGTTTCAAAATTGGTAAAAAATTTTTTCTGTTCGGTCTTTCGGATTGAATCGAATTGAAACGAATAGAAAAACTGGTGTTTCACAAGTTGGATTGAATCGAATAAAGTTGAATAGGAGGTTCTATTCGATTCTATTCGATCCCGATTGTTGGGCAGTAGTACTACCTTTAACCGAAAAAAATTTCTTAGTTTAAGAATATTTCTACTCAAATCAAGAAGATGAAATCCTTCAAAATTATTTACTTGATTCAAGTAAATTTTATTTTCTGTGTACTAATACGACGAATTAAATATACTACAAAAAAAAAATAATTTCCTGTCATGAAAAACTTGAAATCTTGAATCAAATACTCGTTGACTTTCTTTTTCCGAAAATAAAATACTACTCAGTTTATCTTATTCATTGTTTTTGAGACACGGATATTACATGACAATCTATTTGAAATATAAAGGCTCAGACACTTTGCTGATTCTGTGTAAGGAATTATACCACCGTGAATTAAAATTTGAGAAACAACTACACAATGCAATATCTTTAACGTGCTATTAGAGTCCAAAAGCATAGAAAAGTTTTATTTGATTTGGAATAAAACAATTTTCGATACAGAACTTGCGAATTTTCATCCAAAATTATTTTTTTCCAAGTATAGAAAACTTTTTTTCAACAAGAAAGTTACTGTGAAAAAAATTTTTATTTTTTCAGCTAAAAAATGAAATTGTTTAAAATTATAAAAAAATTTTCGTATTACAACATTGCTCATTTTTTTCAAAAGAAATTCTTTTTCTCAGTGTAGTTATTTAGCTATTGAATTAATTACTAATTATTAATTACTAAGAAAGGTATACTAAAACATAAAAAATGTGTTTTATCCACTGAATACAATAATGAATGATTTAAAACTTACGCTTGAATGTAATACTGGAATCGAATGCATATTGCATCGATTTAGTGGATTACCATTTCCAGATGCACCTGGAATTTCTTCAATATCACGTTTTTCTACTGAAATAGTAGTTAACTTTTGTACTGAATGTGATGGTTGTGTAAATTCGTGGGGTGGTCCAGCTGATATTCTTTCATAATTTTCAATCAATATTTCTACAACTATATTATAAAATTTAATATCCATAATTGACGCAACAGTTTCTTCTTCGGGACGCAATAATGTTGGACCAAAACATACGGCTAAATTTCCAACCGTCATTAAATTTTTATCACATTTATTTGCAATACTAAAGTAGAAAAAATTATTATTAAATCATTTGAAAAAAAATTTTTTTAATTAGATAAAAAGTATAATTACTTGCGAAGATGCTTTATTAATAACATCAAAATATTAAAATTAGCTTTTGGTAGTCTGTAAACAAGCGTGTGTATATCATGAATACGTGACTCTCTGGACTCTAATTCTATAAATTATCAAAAAAATATTTATCAGTAATGATATGATTAGTAGTTTAATCACTCAAATGTGTTAATATATTTTATTAAACTTACTAGCAGCGATTATAAAGCTATTGTAAAAACGGAATGTCATAATTGGTTCGGATAATGTTCTGAGATAAGTTTTGAGCGCACTCGTAATTGTTTTACTTTCCCACTCAAATTTATCATCGAAATTAAGTTTTTCCAATTTTCTTTTATCTAAACCCATAGCCAATAATTTATTTACTTTAGAGGCTACACCTACAACACGGTAAAGTCCTTGTTCCTCTAAGCCTATAAAAAGAAAAATTTTATTTTTTAGCTAATAGCAAAACAGCGAAATTTTTCATTTAAGTATGAAATTTTTTATTTTTTGTTTTAAAAAAATAATTGGGTTATTATTTACAAGTGGGATCAACCCCATTTTGGGCCATAACTAGGTGAAAAATTAACATTTTTTAATTTTTTTTATTCTGTTTGTTTTTACGGCGCATTTATGATAAAAAATGTCGTGAAAGGAAAAAATAAAAATTTCGATAGCTTTTTTGCCTTCAAAAATTGGAAAAAAATTGGCTTTCATGTTTTTGGATAAAATTTCTATTTTGTCTTTTTTTGATGTTTTTGATACATATTTTTTTTTGAGAAGTACATAAAAAAAACGAACAAATTAAAAAAAAATTGATCAATTCGATTAAAAAAAAAATTTAACATGGCCCAGCATGGGTTGACCCTACTTATAAATAATTACCAATAATTGAATACTGACCTCTATTTTCGAGAGCACTTATACATTTAGAAACGAATAAAAATCCAGTTTCATCTAAGACAGTTTCATCTGATTTGGCTGGAGAGCACTGAAATGCATATGTCTAAAAATAAAAATAAAGAAATTTGTAAAATTATTGGGAAATAATCTTACTAGGGCTATATAACTTTTATCAAAGCTTACGGGTTCTTTTCCATCCATGGCATCCATCCATAATTTCCTATCCTCCTCAGATAAAGCTTGAAATGTATAAGTTATCCCAGGCCTACAATTTCAGTTGAATGTATTAATATTTTTTGATGTTAGTATAAATAATCTACATAATTAAGAAAATAATCAAAATTTTGTCTCTGGCGTATTTATATAATAAAATGAGTCTTTTAAATTAAATTTAATATAATTTGGAAAATCATAATCTGAATTAGTGTTTTTAAAGTTTTTGAAATAGTTAAGGTAAAAGACCCAGTTATTGACACTGGCCTAGTTATTGATATTTGCAATTTTATTTTAATTAAGAAAAAAGCCAACTCCAATAAATTAATAAATACAATTTGTGAATTATAAATCTTTAGATAATTGGTTTTTTGAGAACATTTGATTTTTTTAATTACAATAAAATTGCAAGTGTCAAACAACTACGCTAGTGCCAGTAACTGGGTCTTTTACCTTATGAATAGATTCGAATTTCGTGATAAACAAAATTTGTTTATTTATTTATTTTGTTTTGTACATGTGAATGTGGTTATAGGTATGTTAAAAGTTAATTTATATAATCAAGCGACTAAAAAGAATTTGTTAACGGGGATATCTTTATCTAAAATTGGTTTTGATATTTTTTCAGCGAGAATCATTTACGATTTAAATAATTGAGAGAGTAAGGAAAATTTTTTGACGAGCATATTATTATTTCTAAAGGAATTTTTATTTATAGTTAAGTTTGGTATCATCAGAAAGTTCTTGATGAGAATTAGTGCCTTTTGGTTTTATATATTTTTTAGTAGTCAATTTTTTATGTCAAGTTTTTGGAAAAGTTTTGAATAGTTACACCAAACTATGTATGGTGTGATTATAGATATCAAAATCATTATGACAAAGTTTTTATATTCATTATACGTGAATGTCGTTACACTGATAGAAAATTTATGTTGACTCAAGAGATATTTTCTTGATCTAAAAATTTATTTTGGAAGACAAATGATTATTTTGCTCTAAGAATTTCTTGTCTTAATTTAGATTTTCTTGGCTTAAGAGCTATATTATCTTCAATCAATAGATTTAAGTTTTTCAGACAAAATAACATTATCATTTAAAATACTTAAAATAATTCATCAAAGTATAATTCAAAAACTAAATAGTCTTTAATTGTTATACCAAAAAAAAATTATTTCTTAGAAATAAGTAAATTAATTAATTAATTAATGACTCAAAAAAAAAAGCCATTCTTAACACAAGTCGGTAACATCTTGAATCAATGTTATCGCCTATCTTGAACCAAGAGACAAAAATTCTTGAAAGAAATATATCTATATCTAGTTTCAAGAGTTCAAGTTTGGAAGAAAAAAAGTTTCTTGAATCAAGATTGTTTTTCTATCAGTGTAGCCTGCATAGTGACTGCAAGTTGCTAGTTTATTATTAAGCAATTAATGCTTACTTATCTGATGCTGTAATATCGAAACAAAATCTTTTTTCAATGGTATCGGACATGCGACGAGTACAGCTTGCTAATATTAAAGTTTCTTTGTTACTCTATTAAAAAAAAATAATTTAAATAATTATTAAGAAAAAGTGGATGGATAAGAGTAAACTTATTCAATAAATTTTTATGACTTACGAATTTTCCAGTTAACTGATTGTACGGTATCATAGTAAATTCTTTTGTATTTTTTTGGTATGTACAATACTGTTTTGTCCAACCTGCACCAAACGCTTCTGAAAGCAGAAAAATTGATCTTTGTTAGTCTTATATTTTCATTAGTAAAAAATTCTATATTAATTTTTCTGATTCCACTCTATTGTTTTAAAGATTATATGGATTTCTTTTAATAGTTATTTTTTTATTTTATTTTTACTGATCTTAATCTACTAAACTATGCAGAAAAAAAAACCCTCAAAAACTTTGGATTGACTCAGGCTAGCTAAAATGAACTTAGTAATGATCTTACTGCGTCAAGTTTTGTAAACCTAAAAAATCTTTTATACGGATATTATTTTTTTAACAAGAACATTATTAAAATTTGTAACTTATTCAATTCACAAGTATAAATGCATTTAACAAAGAAAAAAGAAGCGACTAAACATGGAGGGAGAAAAAATTTATTTAAATGAGATGCTAAATGGAATTAATTAAAACTTACTTTTTTCCATAAGAAATAAATATCCTTCTCTTGAATATAATTTACTTATACCAGATTCAACTGCAGACTAAAGAAAAAAACATAAATTGTAAGATTAAAGGTGTACATTTTCTTAACAACAGCCCAAATAATACAGTATCATAAATGTTAACAATTTATCTAATAATAGTAATAATAATAATAATAATAATAATAATAATAATAATAATAATAATAATAACGTATAAATTTTGACTTGAGGATTCATTCTGGTTTGTATTTATGAAAAAAAAAATTTTTATTTTTTTTTTTACATTTTTCAAAATGATATATATCTAAAAGTATTGTGTTAAAATTTTTAAGTGATCGGACCACTGTAACTATATCATTTTACGATGCTTATATGGATGTTGAAGTGGAAGAAAATCGAATTTTTGAAAAGGCTGAAGGAATTTTGTATAGTGCCGGCATCGCTGTTTGACTTTAGGAAAGATTTTGTTTTTTTTTAATTAACAAAACTTTAAATGCGTTTGTTTCAGAACTATGTTTTTTTGGCTTACGAACATGATAGGGTAGAAGTACCGATTTTGGCTATCTTAGGACCATTTTTGGCCACTTGACATTTTAGATAATTTGTAAAAAATTTAACTATTCAAGTAGAATTCTTATAAAATTTATGAATTAGTAGATTTATACGAATTGAATTAATAAAATCTTGCGCTTATAGAAATATTTATACAATAATTTGAAAATAAAGTGGCCAAAAAAGGTACACTGGCCACAAACGGTACTTCTACTCTATCTTTAAAACCACTGATTCGATTTTAATGAAATTTAAACCTCATAATCTGCATAGTAGTAGCAATGGTCCGAACTATAATCAAACCAAAATTTTGATTTTTACTATTTTTTTAGGACTAAAAACTATGAAATAAGCCTCATTTTTCAGTTTTTTTTTAATGTCCGCAATTTTAATATTTATCAATAAATATTTATCTCCGTAGCTGGTGCAATAACTACTCATATATTGAAGGTAAATAATTTTGGTTTTTGTGTTTTAAATGAACCGTTATCAAGTTATTATGTACGCTGACGACATACCAAATTTTGGAGGAGCTTCGTTCACCCGTTGTTTATTAATATAAAAAATAAATTTAAATATTTTTAGTGTTATTCAAGAGTGTATTTATTGAGCTGAATAAATTTTATATTAATGTATATAGTAGTTTCTGTGTAAAAAAAATCGTGAATATTGGCTTTTTTTCGAGCACCGAAACCAGAATGATCATTAAATCATTTATAATTTTTCAAAGTATATATTGATTCAAAAATAATGTTAAAGTGTACATTTTCATAATTGTAAGATTGTTTTTGTTGTTGTTTAGTTTTAATGTCTCGAGTATATTATCTATCTCTTGATTCATAGCTATTATTATTATTATTATTATTATGACTTATGGATAACGAAAAATCATAAAATGTATTTTTTTTTTTATTTACCTTTTTCATATCCTTCATTTTGTTCATAAGCGATTCAGTTTTATCTCGAGTGGCAAGGAAATTTTCTCGAGTCTTGTAAAAAAAAACACACACACACAAGGTAATAATCTACGTTATCAAGTTAATTCACATGCAGTTACTTAATAATTTCAGTAAAATAATTATTAAATACAAAAATGACTTTAGTATTTTGAGTTAAAGTAATTTAGGATATGCTATTAACAATCAATTAATTGTAATAAAATATTATTTTTAATGAAATACCTTCTGTATTTTTAATTGTAACTCGGTCATGTAAGGTTTAAAATCTTTTGCTACTTCATGGCCTTGATGATAGAAAGTTAACCACCCAAACATAAAACCCAGAAGCTGTAAAAATTTCATTAAAAATAGTAATTATTATAAAATATTAAATTGATTTATGATATTGAAGTGTGACAAGTGTGTTCATTTAAAATTGATGTATTGGTCTCACCGTTTCTACAAATTCAAACTTTTTTCTTTCTTGAACTTCTTGCAACAAGAAAACATACTCTAAACTAGCTTGACAAAAATGTCTTTCAGCCATATCAAGCGTTGCATCAGCCTGAAAAACAGTAAATATTGTTATACATCAAAATTTTTTTCAATTATACTACTTTCAATTTAGCATCAATTACCTCTTGAAGAACGTTATCTTGCTTCTTTGTTGAAAGACTTAAATAGCGTTCTTGGCTTTGACAAAATTTAACCGTTTGTTTTTCGAATTTCTTTTTTCCTTCCTAGAAAATGTTTATATTAAATTTAAAAAATAGAACAACAGAATGGTAGTAGAAAACATGTTCTTTACCTTAACTCCACCGATATGTTCTTTTCTAAAATTTTCTAATGGCAGTATTATTTGGTCATAGGCTCGTTCAAGCTGAAAAAAATTGATATACGATCATTCTATTTTGTATGATTGTTCATATTCTTCAATGTTTAATCTTAATTATTCGATTCTAAAGTAATCTTATAATCTACACAATTAAAAGAGTAAGGGAAATGTTTTTCTCCTGCATATTTATATGATAAAATGAGTTTTAGGTAGATTTCATAAAATCTATCTATTGCATTGGCCCTTGTGTCAAAATTCACACAGAATTTCGTTACTATATCAATTATTTAGTCGAGTAAGGCTTAAAAATGACGTTGGTTTGGAAGTTTATATATATATATATATATATTTATGTAATATAACGCACAGCTTGTGGACACGATAACTCCCACAATTCTTAATGAATCTTCATGAAACTTGGTAGACTTATTCTATAGACAATTAGCTTGAATGAGTTTAAAAATGAGCTGAATCCATCAAATAGTTTAGAAATGGCAGCCGTTTAAAATTTTCGAAAATCTAAAAAATCACATGTTTGGTGACTTTACTAGGGAATAACTTTTTATTGAGAAATGATAGATCGTTTTTCTGCATTTCGTTTCAAAGCTTATGAAATTCTCCGTAATTTAACCTATAACAAATTTACTATTCATCAATTACTCCAAAAGTTTAAGAAGCTGAATGTCATCTGAATCAATTTCAGACAAGCACACAACACAACGCGACTCGTGGACACAATTACTCCCAGAATTCTTAATGAATCTTTATGAAATTTAGTAGACTTATTCTATATACAATTAGCTTAGATGAGTTCAAAAATGAGCTAAATCCCTCAAATAGTTTAGAAATGGCAGCCATTTGAAATTGTCGAAAATCTAATAAATCACTGTATTTTAAAATTTGCCAGCCGATTTACTTTTCTGATAAACTTGAGGAATAATAAGTATTCATAATATCGTAATTAAAATCATGGATGACATGAAATCTACTTTCCATCTTGGCTGGTGCCAAATGGCCTTTTACTTTTTATATGTGGTTTAAATTTTATTAAAATCTGTCTAAAATTTAGCTCAAAACAATGCACCAAAAATTATCTCATAAAAATGTTATCAAATCTTCTTTCATGGCCCCTTAATTTGATTGTTTTTTTAAATGATAAATTTCTTGTTTATATTTACAAAATCAATTATAAAAGGTATTCCCTCAAGTAAATGATCTACTTCTACAACTATAATCATTTAAATAATCTTCTCGGCGTCCACGTGCCCTTTTTAATAGCCTCTATTGCTCAATAGTCCAATGAACTCTGCAAATAAAGTTAATTATCAGCTGAAGATCTCAAGATCTCTACCGGTTATTTAAGAATATTATCATAATCGCAAGGACACATGACGCGTTATTTATCTATCGAATTAACTGATTTTAAAAAAACATACGTTTATTACATTCTAATAGTTTTGGAGGGGTTCCAGTCCGTTAATTTGGGCAAAGTTACTCGGCAACTTTTCTTTACACTACTAGAGAATCAATACAATAGTTGCTTGATACTTGGAAGCGATGGAATTTTTCCGCAAAAAATCCCCGAAGATTATACGGCTCTTAATATGTTGTTTGTTTACCTTGAATATACTTTTACTTATTTTTTTATTTAAGAGGTTAAGATCGCGTGTCGTGAAGAAGGAACGCATGGTGATAAAAAATTACCAGTCCTGGAGAGTATATTGAACTTTTGCGGACAACCTGGTACGCTGGTCAAAGCCCTCTTGTCTCTTCTCTTCGCTTCTTGTCTTGTCTTGCTCTTCAAGTTTAACTTTATGAGTGTGTGTAAATTATCATCCATATAAGACAACTAAGCATCCGTCTTTGTAAAATTATGGCTTTAATTTTTAAATTTATACATTATTTTTCTCTGAAGAAAGCCTCAGTAAAACGCTAGCGCATAAAATCATTGGATGGAAATAATTATCAGTGAAAAGAAACGAAGGACAGCGAGTTTCTTGGAATAAAAGTTCTAATAATACCCCGCTGGGGTGTGCGATATTTAATTCAGCAGTGTTGCAAATAGAATTGCACTTGTCGATTCGTGGGATGTACCAGTAGTTCCATAAATAGCTGAGATTTATACAGGACCGACCAGAGCTCGAATAGCATAATAGAGTACAGGTGGCCGGTGCTTTTGCCCTTCTAAGTGGGAGAAATACAACAGGAAATCAACAATATACAATGTACACACCAGTGTCAGTGTCTGTGACTGCTAGCTCGTGGGACATTAATTATTTATCGTGGAATCGTTACTTGCATAAAATTATTCTCAATACTGATCCAAGTCTCGTGTAGTGTGCTTTGCATACGCTTCTATGCTTCGCTGGAGTTGAGCCCGCCGTTAACGGTCTCTACTTTTTTTTCTTCCGACAACGAGATTAACTATTCTTAACCGTTAGACAGACGAGCACTTAATTAATCAATTCATCATAATCACTTGCAATTCACTAATTTTTATTTGTTCACATGTGAGCTTACTAGAATTTTTTAGATTCTTAATTGCACTATTAGAATCTTTTGTGCTTAAAATTAGGATTTAAATCGCTGATAAAAAATTAAATTTATTCGAGAAAAAAAATCTTTTTAGTTTATTTTCTAAATAGAAAAAAAAAATATTTATATTATTAAAAGAATAAGAAAAATTTTGTTTCCAGGATAGTCATATGATAAAATCGGTTTTTTTTTTTAGTGAAATTTAGTGTCATTGCAAAGGTCATGACTTGAATTTGTGCCCTTTCAAGGTTTCATATAATTCTCATCGATATTCAGTTTATATGATAAGTATTGAGGCTGCATTCGAAAATACTCTATCTCTAGACACATAATTCAGAAATGACCTTGTATCTTGTGAATTATTGACATTTTTAAAGATATAAGCTCATCCCCATGTTACACTCATCAAGATCTTTCATTTGAGTACCCACATCAATTTTTCATATATTTATATATATATATGAAAAATATATCAAAATGCATGTGGGTACTCAAATGAAAACTCTTGAT